CTGTACTAGGATAACAGAGAGCCAAAAGTCGATTCTGGCGAAGAGGTGGAAATGCATCAACATAAGTACAATTCCTTGCCTGACCCTCAATGGCGCCTTCTAAATGTGCGCAGCCTTCGCTTTGACCTACAGTTTACGCATCCAGCATGCTGTTGATGATGATGACGACGACGATAATGACGCAGCGCGATAATGCGTAGCATAACTGATTTCTTGATCTCACTTGGTGTAAAAAGCCTAAGGGCTGGAAAATCCAGCGCTTCGTTCATGTTTTGGGACGGGGGCACTATGTGTTTTAGAAGAATGTGGCAAGCCTTATCACTGCAACATGCAAGGTGGGGAACGGGAGCTCGAGAAGCGGGCACATTTGATCGGATTTTCTCACTAATCCCGCAACGGGATAGCGAAGCCCGCCTCATATGGGGTACTTACTGGAACAACAAACAAATAACATACCAGAGGGGTTGTGGTGAGTGATGAAAAGAGGGGCTGTGGTGAGTGATTCACGGCCTAACACTGATATTTGAAAGCGCAAAAAAGAGGATGAGGTATAGCGCGAAAACATTCAATCATTAAAATTTTACCAACAGCGCCGTGTCACCCCTCCAATACCATGCTATTCTAATGTACCCAAACGAAATAACTGACGATTCCCGGTTCTCACTCCTACCCGCATGCACAGTTCGATCTGTGTTTACAGCTAAGGGATGAAACACAGGCTGCATCGTAAAATGTCATTTTGTACATGACACTTAAGTCGAATCCTTCTACTCTACTATTCATTGACAGACAATTTATATAAGCCACGTTACTATACAGCACAGGGCATCATCATAGTAGCAAAGAGAACCTAAATGTAACGAACGAGACATGCTGCTTATTTTGTTGCACAAATTAAAGACTCTTAGAAGTACTTATGAAAAAAGAAGTACTCAACTGAATGACCTCAGCAAAAGGTAGATGTATGAGGAAGGAATGAGGAACGGGAAGATGAGGGGAAAAATTGAGGAGACGGGGAGGAAGAGGGAGAGGCGCGAGGGAGGAAGGGAGAAGAGGAGAGCGGAAGGAAGACGGATGCACAAAAGTGCCAAACAGGAAGCCAAGACAAAACGGCCGGTAGAACGTCTGGCTATGAATTCTTTTTGTTTACACAAACAGGGCACATTATCGAGACCCCGTACATGCTTACAAATGCGTTCAAATGTATGTGCACGTTTTT